TCAAAGAAATAAATATATATATATATATATGAGCTAAAAACTTTCTTATAATATAAAGATAATTTATCATTTTATTATTGTTGAAAATGATTTATAGAAGAAAATAATAGATAATAGCTTTCAATTAAAACCTCAAAAAGATAAAATGTATAAGATTGACCCTATTGAAATAAACCCACTTATATCTATTATATATTATAAATAATAACATTCCTCCTAATTGGTAAAGGTTGATAATAGCACTTATGACGATCAAGAAACTGTTTTGCTTAGTTTTATTTATTTATTTATTTATTATTCTTGTAACTGTTTGGTCTATATAAAGAAAAATTATTACATACAAACACTGCATGCATCTCTGCATGCGGTGTCCGATCTACACCGTAGGTCACTGTGATCAACAGTGATGATACAATTAAATTTTAAAAAATAAAAATAAAAAAATTTAAAGTGGGGCCACCGAAATACATTTTCATCGTAGATAACCGTGATCTACGGTATAGATCAGACACTGCATGCGGTATGTTTGTATGCAATAATTTTTCATATATAAGACTAACTGCGTAATACATGGGACTACTTTCTTTTTAAGCTAAGAATAGAATTATGCTTTGCTGTTTTTCTCCTCTTCCTTTTCTCTTTTCCCTTTCATTCTTCTTTCCCTTTCGGTTTTTATTTCTAGCTGCTCTCTTTTATACTTTATGGTACCAGAGGTTTAAAGGCTTCACAACTTACTCTCTTTTCCATGGAAAAATCAAGCACATCTGCTTTAAATGAAAGGAATGGACTCTCCATTCTTCCTTATGCCATGAATCTTGAAACATGTATGTAAATGTGGCTTACTCTTGGAAAAACAACTTCAATCCATCATGAAAAATCATTCTATGGTGCAATATCTTACTCGGATCAAGACGATCGTCGTAACATTTGTGATGCGGGATTTACTATAGACCAAGAATATATTATACTCCACATTTTTAAGAGATTACCATCTACCTATCATGACTTCAAAACTTCCATTCGCTCAAATCTTTCTTCTACAAGTCTTGCAAATTTGTATTCATTTTTGTATAGTGAGAAGACTAATATGTCCATTTATTTTCCGCAAGCACTCTACATACAGTGGTTGCGGCAAGAACTTCTACAGAACTAAATGTTGCAACAACCACTCCACAAAGCAACTTACCAATCACCTCCTAACCAATTAACCAAAAATCATAAATGCTTCCATGTGTCAAATCTTCAACAATATATGCCATATTGCAACCACTTGTTGGCATCACTTAAATCTTAATTACCAACCTCCAAAACAACCAACATCGCCTTCCTTACCTCTACCACCTCCAATGATGATTGGTATCTCGACATTGGTCCCAGTTCTCGTCTTGTGGTTGATCTGGACAAAATCCAACAATCCATACCCTATAATGCAAATGATCAAGTTTGGTTGGTAATGGCGAATCGACACCTGTTCACAATTCTGGGCAAGATCTGCTTCCTACCCCCAATTGTAAGCTTTCTTTCTCAAAAATTTTTCACACACCACGTATTTCGCATAATATTATGTTTAATTCTCAGCTAGAATAGATAACAATTGCTCCATCATCTTTGACGCTCATGACTATTGCATAAAGAACTACTACAACCAAGACAATATACTTCAAGGGCCCTGTCAGAACGGTTTATATATATCGTATCACTGCTTCTCCATGTGCTCTTCTCGATGTTCAATATTTTATAGTTATTTCTAAGCAAAAACCCCAACGTCTTATCTCTAGCAAATGATCTTTTTGTAACTTATGTACTACAGCTAAACATCGTCGCTTTCATTTTTTACCATCTATTAATCGCACGTATAAACCTTTGAAATTAATTCATTTAGATGTTTAGGGCTCCTTCCTCTGTCTTTTCTTTCAAGGTTACAAATACTATGTACTTTTTACAAATGATTGCCTGCAATACACTTGGATATTCTCCATGATGTATAATATTGAAGTTCCATCTCACTTTATCAAATTTAAATAAAATGTTGAGCTTCAATTCAAAACATCAATTAATTTTTTTTAGAACTGATGGTCATGGGGAGTTAAAAAATCATATCTTCACACAATATCTTAATAAACATGGTATTATACATCAAGTGTCTTGTCCCTATACTCATCAACAGAATGGCCTCTCAGAATGCAAGCATAGACATTTTCTTGACACCACTCGTGCTCTTTTAGTTGATTCACACATTCCTCCATCATTTTGG